CAACCTCTGCCCCCCAGGTTCAAGCAATTCTAGTACCTCAGCCTCCCAAGTAGCTGGGACTACAGGTGTGTGCCACTATGCCTAGCTAATAATTTTCCACTGTGCCTGACCTTGGCTCAGATTTCTTAATGGCAAGACTAAGAGCTGACAGTCACGGAGAATTCTGGGGGAAAGCGATTTTCTACCTAGAATTCCATACCCAGATGTGATATTATGATATCTATGTCTCTATCTCCATATCTCTAACTAAAATAATGTTTTTGGCTGGGCATGGTGGCTCACACTTGTAATCCCAGAACGTTGGGAGGCCGAGGCAGGTGGATCATTTGAGGTCAGGAGTTCAAGACCAGCCTGGCCAACATGGTGAAACCCCATCTTTACAAAAAATACAAAAAAATTAGCCAGGCATGGTGGCACATGCCTGTAATTCCAGCTACTTGGGAGGCTGAGACAGGAGCATCACTTGAATCCAGGAGGCAGAGGTTGCAGTGAGCCGAGATCACGCCACTGCACTCCAGCCTGGGTGACAGAGTGAAACTTCATCTCAAAAAATAAATAAATAAAATAAAATAAAACAATGTTCTTGTCCACAGTTCCTGGCTCATAACTCCCATAGCCCTTGCCACATGATTTGTTATAATGCTGTGGTGCTCCAGGCCTCAGACGCAGTCCCAGGCCTAGGAAATAGAATCTCTCTCTCCGACCTTCGGCCCAAGGCAGGACTCTAATCTGCTGTGGGTCATAAGACCTTATTCCAGGGACGGTCCTGGCCCATCTCTGCTAGAGCAAATTAATCAAACCCAAAGGGGGAACGTGGGAGCCCAAATTTAAAGCCAGCCAGTCAGAAATTCCAGAGGCCTGGACTTGTGACTGGTATCTGAAGCTGGGCAGCCTTAGGGACTGAGCCCTCAAACTGTGGGATCTGAAGCTATCTCCAGGAAGACAGCATCGGAGTTGAATTAAATTACAGGACACCCAGCTGGTGCCCAATGCTTGGTGCATAAAAGAAAAAAAAAAAAAAGCACATTTGGTCACAGAAGCCTTCTGGGTTGATGGTGGTGGTTGTGTGAGAGCAGAGGAAAGACAGTTTGAGTGTTTTTTCTACACACCAGCCAAGCAATTGGTAGCTTGGAGGTTAGAATAAAAGTTCTTTAAGCACAAAAGGTCTCAAGAAATTGAGGTCGGGTACGGTGCTCACATCTGTAATCCTAGCACTTTGGGAGGCTGAGGCAGGCGGATCGCCTGAGCCCTGGAGTTCAAGACCAGCCTGGGCAAGGTGGCAAACCCTGACTCTACTCAGGAGACTGAGGTGAAACCAATGAAAAGACAAGCGATCTATGAAACAGGGAATCCCACCAGGGAGAGAGGCAAAAGGCATAATGAGGATGCAGGTAAATAGAAATTCCGGAACAGCTGTGCAGCAGGCCTGGTGAGCAACTGGTCCAGACTGGAACAGAGAAGAGAGGATTCTAGGAGGCTGTCTGGCCCAGTGTCACTATCTTTTTTTTTTTTTTTTGAGACGGAGTCTCACTCTGTTACCCAGACTGGAGCACAGTGGCGCAATCTTGGCTCACTGCATCCTCTGTCTTCTGGGTTCAAGCGATTCCTATGCCTCAGCCTCCCAAGTAGTGGGGACAACAGGTGCATGCCACCACGCCTGGCCAAGTTTTGTATTTTTAGTAGAAATGGGGTTTCACCAGGTTGGCCAGGCTGGTCTTGAACTTCTGACTTCAGGTGATTCGCCTGCCTCCTCAGGCTCCCAAAGTGCTGGGATTACGGGTGCAATCCACTGCCCCTGGCCTCACTATCTTTTCTTGAAAGTATTTTGAAAGGCACATGCTGCCTTGCTCACCTTGACCTTCAGGTCACATCCTCCTGTCATTTACTCTCGTAGCACTGTGCACCGCCCCTTCACAGCACAGATCAGTGTGGTCATTAAACATCTATTTCTATGATTTCCTGATTGATGTCTGCCTCCCTCACTGTTCTCTTAGCTTTGTCAAGGTGGGGGCTGTGCTATTCTGGCTCATTATTGAATCCTCTGTGCCAAACACGGAGTAAGTGCTTAATATACACTCATTAAAGCACTGACAGAAGGAATGTTGTGTTTTCATACGTACTAGAACAACTAATACAAACTCCTGGTACCTGCCCCCAGGTAAAATTAAGCCAAGGATTGCTGGGAATGTAAAATTGCACAGCTCCTGTGGAAAACAGCATGGCAATTCCTCAAAAAATTAAAAATAGGATTACCATATGATCCAGTAATTCTCACTTCTGGGTATATACTCTAAGAACTGAAAACAGGCCGGGCACGGTGGCTCACACCTGTAATCTCAGCACTATGGGAGGCCGAGGCAGGCGGATCACAAGTTCAGGAGATGGAGACCATCCTGGCTAACACAGTGAAACCCCATCTCTACTAAAAATACCAAAAAATTAGTCAGGCGTGGTGGCGGGCACCTGTAGTCCCAGCTACTGGGGGTGCTGAGGCAGGAGAATGGCGTGAACCTGGGAGGCGGAGCTTGCAGTGAGCCGAGATCGCGCCACTATACTTCAGCCTGGGGGACAAACCAAGATGCCATCTCAAAAAAAAAAAAAAGAACTGAAAACAGGGTCTCGAAGAGGTATTTGTCCACCCAAATTCATAACTGCGTTACTCACAACAGCCCAAACATGGAAGCAACCCAAGGGTCTGTCCACTGACCAATGAATAAATAAGCAAAATATGGCACATACATACAATGGAATATTATTCAGCCTTAAAAAGGAAGGGAATTCTCATACAGGCTATGACACGGGTGAGCCTTGAGGACATGATGCTAAGTGAAATAAGCCAGTCATGGACAGGCACGGTGGCTCACGCCTGTAATCCCAGCACTTTAGGAGGCCGAGGCGGGTGGATTACGAGGTCAGGAGATCGAGACCATCCTGGTTAACACAGTGAAACCCCGTCTCTACTAAAAATACAAAAAAATTAGCCGGGCGAGGTGGCGGGTGCCTATAGTACCAGCTACTCGGGAGGCTGAGGCAGGAGAATGGCGTGAACCCGGGAGGCAGAGCTTGCAGTGAGCCGAGATTGTGCCACTGCACTCCAGCCTGGGTGACAGAGCAAGACTCCGTCTCAAAAAAGAAAAAAAAAGAAATAAACCAGTCACAATAAGACAAATACTGTGTGATTCCACTTGTATGAGGTTCTTAGAGTAGTCCAAACCAAAGAGAGAGAGAGAACGCAGCATGGTGACTGCCAGGGGCTGGGGACGGGAGCAATGGGGAATTAGTGTTTAGAGGCGTTAGAGTTTCAGCTGTACAAGATGAAAAGATTTCAGGAGATGGATGGTGGTGATGGGTGCTCAACATTATGAATGTATTTAATATCACTCAACTGTATACTTAAAATGGCTAGGATGGTACATTTTATGTTATGTGTATTTTAACACAATTTTTTTAAATGGGAAAAAAAAAAAAAGCCAGGCACAGTGGCTCACACCTGTAATCCCGGCACTTTGAAAGGCTGAGGTGGGAGGATTGCTTGAGTCCTGGAGTTTGAGACCAGCCTGGGCAACATAGCAAGACTTGTGTCTCTACAAAAAATAAGGTAGCCGGTTGTGGCACATGCCTGTAGTCCTTGCTATTCAGGAGGCTGAGGTGGGAGGACTGCTTGAGCCTGGGAGTTCAAGCCTGCAGTGAGCCATGACAGCACTACTGCACTCAGCCTGGGCCAGAGTGAGGACCTGTCTCAAAAAACAAAACACAAAAAAAACAAAAAGGAAAATGCTAGGTGCAGTGGCTCATGCTGTGATCCTAGCACTCTGGGAGGCCGAGGCAGGCGGATCACCTGAGGTGGGAATTTCGAGACCAGCCTGACCAACAAGGAGAAACCCTGTCTCAACTAAATATACAAAAATTAGCCAGGTGTGCTGGCGCATGCCTGTAATCCCAGCTACTTTGGAGGCTGAGGCAAGAGAACCCCTTGAACCTGGGAGGTGGAGGTTGCAGTGAGCCGAGATCATGCCACTGCACTCCAGCCTGGGCAACAGAGTGAGACTCTGTCGCAAAAAATAAATAAATAAATAAAAATGAAAATAAAAATTATGCCAAGGGCTGGATCCTGTCTGTTGGTCCCTTTTTGTAGGTGCTCTCAAACCCACTGACCAGATGACTGTTCAGCAAACATCCACTCCTCTCCCTCTCCCATGGGAATGGACTATTCTACACTGCCCTTTGATATTCGGCTTGGCCATGTTATTGCTTTGACCACTGAAACGTTGGCCTGTGTGACAGGAGTGGCGGCTTCAAATGATGCTTGCACAGTTTGGCTTGTTTCTCAGACGTCTGCCATCTTTCTTATGAAGAGTTTCTCTCAGGTAGAAAGATGAGAGGCTTCTGGGGCAAACACAAATCCAACCTGCAGCCTCAAACCAAGCCTGGCAATCTGCATTCTAAAGCTGAGCTGTCCAGCCAAACCCAGCCCATCAGAAGATGACCCAGAGACCAACGATTAAAACATAAGCACTTGGCTGTGTGCAGTGGCTCATGCCTGTAATTCCAGCACTTTGGGAGGTTAACGAAGGAGGATCACTTGAGGCCATAAGTTTGAACCAGCCTGGCCAACATAGTGAGACCCTGTCTCTTAAAAAAATTTTTATTTTTATTTTTATTTTTTTGAGATGGAGCCTCGCTCTGTTGCGCAGGCTGGAGTGCAGTGGCATGATCTCAGCTCAACTGCAACCTCCGCCTCCCGGGTTCAAGCAATTCTCCTGCCTCAGCCTCCTAAATAGCTGGGATCACAGGCGCCCACCACCATGTCCGGCTAATTTTTAGTAGAGACAGGGTTTCACCGTGTTGGTCAGACTGGTCTAGAACTCCTGACCTTGTGATCCGCCCGCCTTGGCCTCCCAAAGTGCTGGGATTACTGGTGTGAGCCACTGTGCGTGGCCAAAAAAAAATTTTTTTTTTAAGCTGGGCATGGTGGCACATGCCTATAGCTACCCGGGAGGCTGAGGCAGGAGGATCGCCTGAGCACAGGAGTTAGAGGCTACACGAAGTTATGATCATGCTATTCCTCTATATCTTGGTGACTTCTATAATGAAGAGCTGGACTCAATCATTAAGCTTCTTTCCAGTGCTAGGATTCTGTGGTCTAGAAGGATCTGTACCCCCTTAGATTGGCCACCCCCTTCTCACCTGTGTGTGGCTTAGCAGGGGGAGGGTAGCGTGGTAGGCTGAGCAGAAAGCCTGGCTGGCTTCCCAGGCCTGCGCTTCTACAGAGAAGTAGTAACAGTGCTCCTCGGACAACACCCAGCCTGGGGGGCATGGCTGACATCTGGCTCCTGCAAGCACAGAGACCGCTGGTGAGCTGCAGGGTAAGCTGCATTAAATAAACAAAGTCTGGCTGCCACCTCAAATGAAGGGGCATGGAACTGGCAAACCTCAGGGTGGGCAGGGCCCCAGGGAGGTTTTATAGTCTGTGCAGTGCACAAAGTCCCCAGGGTGACGGCTGGCATCTGATTGCTTATCAGGGCACAAGCTGTGTCCGGTGGGAGGAAGGCACCAATTTTCCTTAACTTTGCTCATCAAGTACCATGTCTTCATGTTGCCTCTCCCAGTGTCTCTTTCGAATTCTAAGGTGTTTTAAGGGCTGGAAACACAGTCCCAGTAGTGGAGCAGCAGGGAGAAGGGATGAGGACTGCGGGGGACATCATACCTGCTCTTGAGGCCAGGACCACAATGACAACCCCAGAGACTGCCAGGAGCACAGCCATGAACACCAGGGCCCAGTACAGGGACTTCACATACATGGGCAGCCCTGGGACAGGGGCAAACAGGACAATCAGGTTAGCGGAGACCATCCCAACCAACCCTACTCAGAACCACAGACATAGCACACCAGCATCGCACCCACCTCACCCCAGCACCCAACCCCTCAGCCTGGGATGCCAACATAAACCGCAACATTTAAGTTCCAACTTTATATTCTGGAGAAAGAAGTCAGATATTCTTTATTTTTTTTTTATTTTTTTGAGACAGTCTTGCTCTGTCGCCCAGGTTGGAGTGCAGTGGTGCGATCTCGGCTCACTGCAACCTCCGCCTACCAGGTTCAAGCAATTCTCCTGCCTCAACCTCCCAAGTAGCTGGGATTACAGGTGCACGCCACCATGCCTGGCTAATTTTTTTTGTATTTTTAGTAGAGACAGGGTTTCATCATGTTAGCCAGGCTGGTCTCGAACTCCTGACTTTGTGATCTGCCTGCCTCAGCCTCCCAAAGTGATGGGATTACAGGCGTGAGCCAACGCGCCCAGCCCTTTTATTATTTATTTATTTATTTATTTATTTATTTTTGAGACCGAGTCTTACTCTATCACCCAGGCTGGAGTGCAGTGGCATGATCTCAGCTCACTGCAACCTCCACCTCCCGGGTTCAAGCAATTCTTATGCCTCAGCCTCCCAAGTAGCAGGGATTACAGGTGCCTGCCACCATGCCTGGCTAATTTTTGTAATTTTAGTAGAGACAGGGTTTCATCATATTGGTCAGGCTGGTCTCGAACTCTTGACCTCAGGTGATCCGGCTGCCTCGACCTCCCAAAGTGCTGGGATTACAGGCGTGAGCCACCGCAACAATGTGGATTACAGTTACGAAGGCAGGAATGTTATTGATTGTAAGCCCGAGATGCCAGATCGGGTGGGGGATCCGGATGGCCCACTGGGTCCCTTAGTCGGTCAGCTACCCAGAGGTCCAGGACTGGGCGCGTGTGGGGGTTTCGGCTACGTCCACCCGACCTGGCGGCGCCGGCTGCCGGCGCAGGTGAGCAACTCACCGGTAAGCGTTACTGCCCGGGGCAGCTTCTCGTCGCCCTCCAACCCCACGCGGGGCAGCAGCGCCGCATCCTCCTTCTCCAGCCCCAGCTCCTTGCAGCGGCAGCACGTGGGGGAGCCCGGGGAGCTTCCTTCCACTGGGCTGGCCCGGCCCTCAGCGTCGCGGCCGCTCTCCGTCCCGGCTGCAGCCAGCGTCGAGCCGCGTCCCCACGTGCCGCTCAGGGACGATGCGCGCGGCAGGAGCTGGTGCGCTGGGTCCGCTTGGCGGGAGAAGGCGGGGGACTCGGGCACCGGCACCGTGAGGAAGCGCGTGGAGGGCCTGGGCGACGGCGTGCGGCTGCCGCCGGCCGCGCCCACGGGCTTCACAAGCACATCTACCTGCAGCTCCATGGGCGCCCAGGCGCCGGGCGCAGGCTCAGCCCCGGGCGCCTCGCCATTCCCGGGCAGCTTGACCGAGGCGGGTCCCGGCGACGGCGGCTCGGGGCAGACGCCGTAGTCCAGGCTGAGCGGCGGCACGCGCGGGGTCCCGGGGCGAGGCGAAGGCAGCTGCTTCTCGCTCGAGGGCTCCCGGCCTGCGCCCGCCGCCTTCTTCATGGCCCTGGACGGACTCGGGCTGCTTTCGGGACCTTCAGGTTGTCGCGCCTTCTCGGGGACCTGGGGCTGCTCCAGCCCGGGGACCAGGCTTCCCACGGGCTCCATTGGGAGCTCCGCCCCGGCTTGGCCTCCGGGCGCAGCCTCCCAAACCCGCTCCATCCCGCGCGCCCCGCGAGCCGGGGACGCTGAGGGGCGCACCTGGGGTCAAGTGCAGAGGAGCTTCGCTCTCCTGCGTCCAGATTGCTCCAGCCGAGTCGCCGAAGTTGTCAGGCCACGCCCCTCCTCGAAGGCCCCCGTTGTGATTGGCTGTGGCTGCCGTTCTGCTGCCCCGCCTCCACAAGGCACTGGGAGGGAGCTGGCAAGGGCGGCGGGGCTAGGTGAGGGTTGCAGTGTGGGCGGGAGCTCTCCGGAGAAAAGCAGAACGCGAGCGGAGGCGTGTGGCAGGGAACCCGGAGCTCCACCTGACCTTT